TAGCTATCTCAGCTCCTCCTGCTCGCGACAGAGCGGGAGGCCGGAGCGCGAACTTCTATGCACCCCGGTTTTGCTAGCGAATCTTATCTAACACAGAGTAGGCGAGACGTGGTGTATGGTGAGTAAATTAGGGAAAAGAATTCAGAATGAAGAAGCAGACAAAGGGAGGAGGAGGTAGAAAGAAGGGCAAGCACATGGCTCGAATCTGACAAGCGCAGACCACAACCATACTATGACATCCGTCAACGTGCTATATATGGCTGTCTGTAGCTTCTGTGCCATGTCATGACATTTCCCCATGTCAAACAGAAGCTCACATTTTCCTGGTCTCAAACCAGCAACACAAGCAATTCCTCACATCTTCCCTGCCTGGATTTACTCAGTATCCAGTTGATATCACCGCGACGGTATCGCCTGCTTCCCTTTCTATCACTCCCGTCTTTACTGCTGGACCCTGCCACTACCCGACACTCCTCACTGTGGTCTTCCCTGAGACATGCCCCACCCTTCACTGGGGCTCCGCCGTTCGCCAGCGCCCTTCTCCCGTCCGTGCTTGGTGTTTCACGGCTGCCTGCAACACCCAAACATCCTCTGATGACGTCACCATCCTAACACTCGGACATCCCCCGGCAACGTCACCGCTCGGCCTCGGCCCCGGCGGGCTCCGGCGCCGCCTGGGGGCTCGGCTGCTCCCGCTGGCTATCCGGCCGACCGGAGTTGCGCGTGGGCAGAGCGGCCGCTGCGGCGCCAGCAGTGCCGGCCCCCGCCTCCGCAGGGCTGGCGAGCGCCTCGTCCGCCCCTGCGGGCGATGCCGCAAGAGAATGCCGAAGCCGACCGTCGCCGGCGTCCTCCACACAGTCCTGACGCGTATCCTGCTGAGCCTCCGGGTCAGCAGCAGGTAGGGCCCCGCCGCGGCTCTTCGCACCGTCCTCCTGACCCTTGACCTCCGCCTCCAGGCCAGTCGGCTGCGGGTCTCCGCCGCGGTCGTTTTCACAGTCAGCCCGGCCCTGCCCGCCGGCCTCCAGCCCGGCGTCGCGATCTCCCCCCGCGTTCGCCTGCGCCGCGGCCAGGGCGTCCCCGCTGCGGTCTGCGCTGTCCGCCGGCCAGCTGTGGTCGATGGAGCGGCTCTTCTGGTGGCGCGGCGCCGGCGGCGGCAGCGGCGGCACGCCCATGGAGCGCGTGCGCTGCTGCTTACGCTGCTGCTTCTGCTGGACGCTCCTGCTCGGCCAGCTGCTGCAGTAGCTCGGGGCAGACCTCGCCGCAGCCGGCCCGCTCCGGCATGCCGTACTTGTGCCGGATTGTGTTGAGCGGCAGCAGCAGCTCGATCATGGTGCCGTCGTCCCGACCCTGGAGGCAAACGGCGCGCCTGAGCATGGTGCTGCGCCCTGGCGGCAGGCGGTGAAACCGCACACGCGGGGCGCGGCGGCACGTGAAATATGCGGAGCTCGAGACAGGAAATACCATCATTAGTGGTGCTTTGATTTACGGAGCGGATCACGGAGGCGGAGAAATCCCATAATGGGTACCCCCGGGCGTGGTTTGTTCCTTGTCGTCATCACACCGCGACGGAATGGTGCTAGACATCGTCACCTCCTGCATTTTCGGTGACAGGACAATGCGGCGCCCGCGTGATGGCTATGCGATTGCCTGGCGGACGTCACGTGCCTCGCCCATAGGCGTCCCCAGTTGCGTATCGTGGCCTCGCGCTGTCCACGTGACACCCAATCCCCAGCGAATGGCTGGGCCCGGTGGGGCTATATATAGGTGACAGTCTTGTGACACCGCCAGTCATAACTCGATGACGGTCACACGAAGGACGAGCCTCGGCATTTCGGCATACCAACACCGACCTGGTCGGTCAAGCACGAATATCGGGCCACTGCCCAACGTCCTGAGGGCACGACATTTGTAGTTCTTTTATCTAGCAGGGATACGTTGTGATAAAGTATAAACGCGTTGTGAAGAAGAACATAAGTTCTCCCACTTACCTGGAATAACATTTCGCCCTCAAAGTCAAGAATCTTGTGCTTCCGCCCTCGCATAAGAAGTCCCACCACTTTATCGTTGATTGAACTGTACAACTGAAATAATGGAAAAAAGTTAGTGGAGCAGACCTTGTATCAAACAGTTACGTGGGCCCGCCAGTACGTATACAGCTGTTCATGTGCCTTTAGGTTAACGTCACGGTGCGTTTAATTGCTGCAGCACGGCCCAGAACACCGCAGACAAAGCGCAAACAGCCATGGGCAGACAGTTATCTTATATATTCAGCTTGTCGACGAGTTTGCAAGTATGAACCCTGAATGATATTACGTAACTAGGACTCTACTTCCCTTAAGTTATGCGACACCTTACATTCGCGTAATGTTCTAATAGGAAGAAGCTACGATGAAGAATCTACTGTGAAAAGTCTACGATGAAGAAGTCACGACGTTGAAGATGTTGCGCAACGACCATTCTATTCGTCTTAAGTAGCAATGCGTCTTACATTTGCGTAATGCATAACACCTACAAATGCTCATTAAAGGTCCAGTTTTTGACAAGATCACCCCCAAAAAAACACGACGCATTGCCGCATGGTAGCTGGGGAGGGCAATGTGCCAGAAGGAAGCCCTCGATAACTCACGCGGAAGGCGTCCCCGAAGCTAATGGCGGCCCTGCCGTCGGGGCTGCGGATGCCGCAGTCGTAAATCATGTCGCACAGCTCCACCATATCGCCGATCATCTGCATCTGGGCGAGCCGGCCCCGTTCGGCCGTCTTGCTCCCCTCCACCGGCCTGCGGGGCCACCGACAGAGGGGCGTTGTCAAGAGCCGGCGGTCACCAGGTCAGGGGGCGATCGTCAGGTCAGGGGAGAGGCGGCGGCACGGCGGTCAGGGGACAAGTGCAGGTCACAGACCGGCGGTTACTGAAGCAGGGGCCAGGTCAGGGACCGGTGGCAACACAGGATAGGGGCAAGGTTATCCACGGCACGTCGTTCCTTGTCATAACTATGCTCCATTTCCCTGTCATAGAGCAGACCTATCGTTCCCTGTCATAGTGGCTGCCATGTCGTTCCCTGTCATAATAACCGACATGATTTATGGACGACCAGTGAGACCAAGCATAACTTGGTCTCATGTTCACAAGCTCTTTATGCACTTAACCTACGGTACTAAACACTTCTGATTTGTTGTCTTTCGAGGCTCCGTGATGTTCCCCAGGTCATGCCAATCCTTTAACCCTATCATGCTCAAACCCGCAAGCCGCACCACACCGTTGTCTCACCTTCCGTACTCCGGGTCTTCCCTGGAAAGCTTGCGTCGTGTCCCCGAGCCGTCCCAAGTCGCTGAACGGATTGATCATCTGACTCTCGCGGTGCTCTTTGGCGCGCTTGTTGAACATGGACATTTTGGCGCCAACGTCCGAAAACAGGCGCATCCGGTGTGACATGGCCGCGTGCTTCAGTCGAAAACTCTGCTGGGAAGCGTGGCGTGGCTCAGCCAGACGGAAAACGCACTCTGCCCGACTGAGGAGTTGATTTGCAGGCGAATCAATGCATTCCGGCATCTTCACAGCACCAGAGGATTCTGATTTCGAATGAAGGGGTTTCGTAAGATAGCGGAGTGGGCTAGAGTGACACGTACGAGATTTTTCGCTTCATTGGGCGTCTCGCGGTGTTCCAATACACGAAAGCCGATGACATCTGCCAGTCAGAAACAAGTGAGCAAAACCAGCGCGTCGTCCCAACTGTGATCAGTCCGACCCCCCCCCCCCCTCATCCGATGACCTCGGCCCGGCGGACCGCTGGCCGGCGTACCTGCGCTGGGCCGTCCCTGGTCCGCCGCTGTCCGACCGCCTGCCGCCTCGCGTCCGGTTCCGCACCTCGACCCGGCCCGTCACGACCCCGACTGACGTCGGTGACGGTCGGCGCCGCGGCCCCCGCCGCCGTCGTCACCGGCGGGAATGTGCGCCGGATGCCGCTCGTCTGAGGCGCGCTCTGACGTCACACGGCCGACGCGGCGGGCTGAGGCGGCGCGCGCTGGCTGGTGGGCAGCCCCGTGTCCCAGCGAGGATGGCAAGCCACGGCCGGCCGGTAGCAGCGGCCGGTGATGACCAGTGACTCAAACGGACGCAGCAGAGGCCGGTGGTGGCCAGTGGCTCAAACGGACGCAGCAGAGGCCGCGTTCCTTACCCGCAAACGCAACGCAACGCAACAACGCAAAGCAACGCAGTCCAACGGGATGCGTTTTTCCAAAGTTCTTGATTAATGAAAGTGGTCGATAAAAGTAAGCAACTCATGTCTTGCCAGTGCGTTCATGCATCATGCATAAGTGCTTAAGGCTTCTCATCCTAGGTTTTCCAAAAGAAATCGGCCACAGGGAATGATATGTAGTTATGAGTCACAAGGCCATGACACTAACCTCTACACTTTACATATGCGATGCATAGAAAATGCCTTCACGGGGCTGGTGTAGGGGCTCAGATCACTTGGGTGACCTTCACGTAGACGTCAGCGGATCGAGTTGCTGCCAGGGGCGGGATGAAGCTGGAGGTCACATGGCCAGCCCCTGTCAGACGACGCGTACATAAGGCTTCAGTAGGAGGTGATGGTTGAGCTCTTTGTGGTCTTGGTTCGCGCCTTTTCCGTATTTGGTTTTATTCACGATTCGAACGCAATCGGATATCTCGCGGGATGGAGCTGCCAGTGCTGCTGGCCTCAGTGAAAGCCAATGGTTTGCAAATGTGTAAGGTCAAGGATCGCTTTGCGGCTTCATGGATCTGAGATCCCGGGGTTCTGGCACATGACAGGATTCGTCTGGACCCTGGCCCTAGATACCACGAGGCTGTGGCAACAGCCACGTAGCGCGCAGTAGGAGGCACAACGGGGCTTTGCGGCACTACAGAGGGGCCAATCCCCGGTCTGGCAGAGTTGTTTTCCTGACGACTCTTAGCGCTATCAGTCAAAGATGAAGTGGCTCATTCCAAGATGGCTCATGGTTCACAGTAACCACCAAAAAATATTTGGAGTTTTGTGTTTATTGTCGCACCATGTGTCAACGTCCGATGCAGACATAACACGAAACCACGAAAGGTAAGCCACAAACAAAGGTGACAGGACGCGGCGGTTCGTTCCAGATGGTTATGGACAGGAGCACTCGCACATGCATGCTTTGCGTAGCGACAACATGAGCAATTGGGCGTATGACAGCGGCCTCATGCTGGTCGGGATAGTGTGCTCGGTCAGGGGTCTTCCGAAGGTGCGAGAAAGGTCGTGCTCTGGAATTAACACAATTTCCATCGTCAGTTTTGAGCACAAATAATGATCTTTCAATGATACCATTCAGTCTCTCCGGCCAGATGTTCTTCGATCTCACATCACCGAATCGTAATGGGAGCGGGTGCAGCTCTTTGATTACAGAGAAAATCAAGCACGCAGCGGGTCCACACTCGGACTGCGAGCGCTTGTGAACAGCTCCCGCACATCAAACGGGGAATAAGCCCATGGCATAACGAGATAACATAACGAACGGCTTACTTCGCCGTCCGAACCAGCCCTCCCACGCATCACGATTATTGGCTGGCCACTACGCCGCTGGTGGCCTGCGACACACACACACACAAACCAGCCACCGACACATGTCACGGCGAGCTTACCGACTGTGGGGCAGCGCGCCCCACCTCAGAACAAGCTCGGGGACAGTCAGGACCGACCTGACATTAAACTGAGGTCTCTCTACCGTGACATGGGGATATAGCAAGGGTACACAGTGTTCGAAGATGCAGGTGTGGACATTATGGGCCCAGCTAGTGTAACCGAGCAGCTAATCACTTAGAGCATGTTCGCACATCTTTACTTGTCTCAAAAACATGGCCTTCAACAACTTCAGAAACACTGAGTACCCCTAGTTGCCCAACATCCGTGTCAAGCACTGCGTGGCATTGCGTGATGATCCATATTTATCTAGGAAACCATTGCCTTACAGTCAATGGTTACATCACACACAATAAATAGAGCATCGATAGCGAACTGTATATCACGACTAGGAAATTCACAACAATAAATGGGGATTCTTTATGACAGACAATGAAACGGTACGTTGCAAACATTCGTATGCTAATGCCATCTAAAGAAACAGTAGAACTATGTGCTACTCACTTAACACAAACTTATTTCCTATCGGGAATACAAAACACGTATTTAAGCGCTGGTTGGACTTGGAGGCTCATAAAATAGCATGTTAGGACACAACCGTCTTTAAAAAACTATGGGCCATGTACTTAGAAGTTACAACAGCTCAGGAGAAAAAACGCAGCCAATAAGAGCAGCACAGATACCGACCAACACCTAACCTCTCAACACGTCCAACACTATAACAACGCGTCGTTCACGTAACTTCTTGAAACTTCTTGACACCTTGTCATCTGTAGTACACCACGGGTGAAAACATCACAGCTTACAAACTCGCCCCCTGTCGACCAAGCAATCCCACTGCATGCGACAGACTGACGCCAGCCGTCGTGCGGCCGCAGTTTCTTGTCCATTTCTGGCGGGGAACGAGCGCGCGCCCTGACGCCGTCCCGACCGCCAAACGGCGGGGCTAGTCCTCCTGTTCATCACCGGTCGTCCGGCGAGCTGCGGCGAGGCGCCGGCGTCCGCCCGAGCGCAGCCGCCGCTCGCCGCCGCTAGATCAGTCTGTCAAACGTGGCAGAGTAGTCCTGCATCCAGGTGAGCAGGTCTCGGAGTCGCGGCCGCTGGTCCGGCTCCATGGCCCAGCAGCTGAGCAGGGCCGTGTACCTGCCGGGGGTAGGCCTGATCACCGCTCCTTCTTCGAAGTAGGACACTCGTGGAGTTGTAGAAGAAATGCTGGTGTCGCAGGCGGCTCAATTATGTTAGCAGCATCTCACTGCAGAGGCTCAGGTAAGAGCAATATATTCTTAACTCACAAGACGTGGGTGATGGTTCTTTGAACAACCTACTTTGCTTTTCTCTTATCGAGGATGATTCTTCCCTAAAAGCAGTTCTAAGTGCACATACTTTTAAGAAGTATTGTCAGCAAGGGTCGCACATCGAGGCATATTCAGCTCTTACAGCTGCGGCGGACAGGTGGGAGGCTGGGCCAGCCGGTAGCCCTCGCGGAGCAGGACCACCACCTCGAGCGGCTCGCGCAACTCGGAGAACGGCAGCTGACCGAGTGAGGCCACCTCCCAGGCGGCCACCGCCGCCGACCACACGTCGCTGGCCGGGGAGTGGCGCTCGCGCAGCAGCGACTCGGGCGCCGCCCAGCGGACCGGCCGCCAAGCTCCGTCTGCCAGCCGCGCGTACTCGGCCGGGTAGATGTCGCTGCTCAGCGCACCGTCCGTCAGGCGCACGCGGAGGCGGTCGTCAACGCTGCGGAGCCGGAAGGCGGCGTTAGTGGCGCCGCGCTGGCCTGTTTCAATGACGTCACCCCCCCGAAGCGCCTAACAAAACCAAGGACGCCTCGCTTGCACGAAGACGGCGCCCGCCCGACACGCGATAAACGAGAGAATTTACGACGAGGCGAGACACTTGCCGCTTGCTGCAGCAGACCGGGGGTGCGGGGCGCGTCTGCGCTACTTACACACAGTTTCTGGCGGCGACGTCTCGGTGCAGAAGGCCCATGTCGTGGACGTGCACCAGGCCTCCGAGCAGCTGGACAGCCATGTCCACCATGCTACGCGGCCCGATGACGCGGCCGCCGCCTGGCTGATCGGCCGCCCGACATGACGTCAGGAACTGCTTCAGGTTGACAGCGCCCAGGTCTGCGTAGAGCACACAGGGCGGGCCGTCGCCGACAGAGCAGCAGCCCAGCACGGGCAGCAGCGCCGGGTGGCTGCAACCGGCCAGCAGCAGACCGTCGGCCAGCAGTTGGCGGCCCTGCTGGGCGCTGGCCTGCGCCGAGACCGTTTTCACGAGGCAGAGCCGGGGCCGGCCGCCGCCGCCGGCGCCACCCACCACGCCATGGTATAGCCGCCCAAAAGTTCCCTCAGCCACCAGATCGGTGAAAGTCACGTCAAACCGGTCCACGCGCAGGCAGGCGGCCAGCTCCAGCGGGTTCGGCTGCCGCCGCTCCGGACAGGAGATCTACCGAGAACGGCGAATCGTCAGCCACATCAGGCCACCAGATTAACATGGAAAAAACGACGGCTTGGGGTTTGCGCACGCCGGTGACCGCAGCCAACCCGTGACATTTTCGTGCACGAGTGGAGAATACTGCAAACGGCCGGTATGGGCAAGCTGACAAATCAGGCATCTGTCGATCGCAAAATGATAGCACCGCCGACTTCATTGAAGTTGCCGATCCCGGCGCAAAGCATGTCATACGACGTAATGTATCATGACTTGCACTTGACTGAGTACTAGATGCTCGGTTGGCTCCTACGGCCGCGACACATCGCATGAATTCCGGCTGCCTGGGAGGCTGGAGCGACATGCTGACTGTCCGGGAGTCCGGGATGCTGAGATGGTTTATACTGTCTGGGATGCTGAGGAGGGGGAGGGGGGGGGGGGGGCTCAAAACTGTCTGGGATGCTGAGAAGGATTTCGGCTGACTGCAATGCTGGGTGGCTCCTGACTGTCTGGGATGCTGGGAAAGGAGACTCCTGCTGTTTGGAAGGCTGGGGGCAACTCATGCCTGTTTGGGATGCTGGGGATGACTCCTGCTGTCTGTGATGCTGAAGGCAATTGCTGCCTGTTTGGGATGCTTGTGCAACTCCTGACTGTCCGGGATGCTAGGACGACTCCTGACCGCCTTGGACACCGGGCGGCGCCTGGCTGTCCGGAACGGCGCGGTGTCGCTGGCTGCCCTGCCGCAGTGACCCGGCCCCGGCCGTTCGGGACGGCGCGGTGTCTCGGTCCGACGTGCCTCAGTGACTCAACCCCGGCCGTTCGGGACGGCACGGCGTCTCCTGGCTGACCTGCCACATTGACCCGGCCCCAGTTGCTCAGGATGGCACGCTGTCTCTAACTGACCTGCCTCAGTGACCCAACCCCGGTTGTCAGGGACGACGCGGCGCTTCTGGCTGACCTGTCTCAGTGACCCAACCCCGGCCGTTCGGGACGGCGCGACGCCTCTGCCTGACGTGCCTCAGCGACCCAGCCCCGGCTGTCCAGGACGGCGAGCCGCCGCAGGCGAGCGGAGCGGCGCCGGCCATTCGAACACCAGCTGGGTTTAACGACAATCCATCGCGTTGATGAGTGAGCCGTCGGCGCCAGCCCCTGACTGGACATTCATCAGATTATATGCCGCATTAGTAGGCACGGTGGCGTCGGCGGCGTCGGCCGCGGCGGCGGAACAATCGACCAGCCTCGCGCGGTCAGCAGGGCTGAATTTTCACACCCGGACGCTCACGAAGCATGTTCAATGATTCCCTGCGGCTGGACGCCGCTGCACGGCACGGTATTGGCCCCGCGTCTTGTGCCAGAGATGGGTCTGGTAGGCGGCAACAACGCCGTCCACCATGAGCGGGGGTCCTCTGACGCTGGGGCAGCGTTGTGATTGGACCGGTCGCTGCCCAGCTGGCCTGTCGCCACCCACCGTGAAAACGGTCGTTAACCCCGCACGTGAGGCCTGGTTGAGGGTTTCGGGAGAGGTGCTTGACAGATGGCGAGCTCGAGCAGCTTGACGCCCATCCCCTGCCCTGGTGGCGGTAGTATGTCGTGCGTTACAGGACATGAAGTTGAGTAACGACAGTGTCGAGGGAGCTTGGGGTCGCATCGCTCTCCGCGCTCTCGGGCAAACACGGGCACCCGCGACGAACCCAGGTCTAGGCTCGCCCATTGTTTAAATGTCGCTTCAAAGGAATGTTGCGGCTGAAGCAAGTCGAAGTTGAAGTTGCCCAAGCAGACGATTCAGCTGCTAGAAATCCCTCAGTATCAGCGCGCAGTAATATAACTGAATCTAGGTAGCAGTTTTAAACGTCGAATTCTTGAATTCAGCTGAAGCGCTGTTAGGCACGAGAAGAAATTAGATGTTAATGCTAACCTTCCCTTTTCACCTAGACTTGAAGTTCACCCAAGCTATACTCCACTGCCGTATATGTAAGCATTGCTTAGAAAAATGTAGCGTCCGGCAGCGGCTGTCTAACGACGATGGACGCAGTGCATCACAGAGCCTGGAATCAAGTAACGACAGTGCGCTCTGGTTTGGCATCTTGCAGGTATCTCTAAAATTATTTCACGTGGACGCCCAGTACCGCCCAACATGTGTTAAGCTGCGGCCAATGCTATTCTTGTCCCGTGTGTGCATGAAACATGTGTACGGATGTGCGTTTTCCAACATTGTTTTTGTCCCACAAATAGTTAACTCGGATCCGGAATGGTCCAATGATCATCGCTGGATGAAAAAAATCCGCGGGACATGATAAATGTATGCATGAACAGATGTAAACTAAAGACCACTATGATCACCATTTTGCTGCAATCCGGGTAAAAGATCAACATTGAGAGTCCTCGCACGCCTGGCCCATCGTTTACCTTTAGGCAATAAAGAGCCTGAAATGAGGATTGCAACGGCTCAGCCCGTTATTCTTCCCCTTTCCCAAGACCTGACAGCAAGCTAGGAAACCGATCCCAGCGAGAAGTCTAAAAGGCTGAACTACCGCAAGCTGCACATTGGGGCTGTAACTATGTAGGTTGAGGCTGACTGGAACCTCTCCTCTGGCGTTGCGTTCACGCTCAATGTCTTGATCAGTGGCGGACACAGAGGAAGGGGGACACGGGAACATGGCCCCCTTGAGCTTCAAGGGGCCCATAGGGTACGAAGGGGCTCATGACCGGCCAAGCGGAAGCAGGCTTTCAGCACAAAACACGCAACAATGGACGTCTTTGGGCCTCTAGGCGACAAAGACCAGCCGCTAGCGAAAATGGAAGGCCCACGAGCAGACAAAAACAGTTCTTCGCTGATTAAGAGGGCGGTGATTGGTTTCGACCAATCACTGCGCAGCGATCCACGGTCTGCGTGGGCGGCGGTTGGCGGCTGCAACGGCCAATCCCGCGGGCGGCGGGTGCCGGGCTGCAACGGCCAATCCCGGGGGCGGTGGGTGCCGGGCTGCAACGGACAGTCCCGCGGACGGCGGGTGCCGGGCTGCAACGGACAATCCCGCGGGCGGCGGGTGCCGGGCTGCAACGGCACGGTCCCGCGGGCGGCGGGTGCCGGGCTACAACGGGACGGTCCAGTAGGGCGGCGCGCAGCTGGCTGGCACCGTTACATTTACAGAGTCCTGCACCATAAATATATGTTCAAAACACATACAACTATATACCAATGCACTCATAATGGAACAAGAAAGAGGCTTATTTGCGTTTCGTGTCGCCGCCAGACGTGGTATGGTACACATGAGCACTGTCAATTTGAAAAAGTTTGATTTTAGGGAAAACTAACATTTAACCTGGCCTTGCAGAGCCATTCACTGACCTAGCAATGTACGATTATCACCAATCACGACATATTTTCGAGATCAAACAAACGCTTTGCTTTTCCGCGAGGTGCCAGCTTTCTTAGTCTAAAATCGACAGGGGGTTTCGTCGCCCCTTCCCCACCCATCCGTCAGTCCACATTATGAAAAACGGCGACTCAGGGGTAGGATTAATCATCCAGGGCATTCTTGATCGCTCTAGGGTCCTCCACATTGATGCCAAGTCAAAATAAAGTGATAAGGTGAAAAGAATCTCGCTCTGTTGTCGGCAGTCCCACATGAGCTTGAGAGTGCCAGTACTTCCCCCACTTATGGTCTTTTGCCGCCTCCTGTATGCGGCATTAGTTGAATGATTCCATGTAGGCGCGCAAGTCCGAAATCTACACGATGGCGATTTCCTTTGTTGCTTTAGTCGCATATTGCAGTTGACGCATACGTTCCGACATTTTTTACGCGTCATTGCCGAATATGAATTCACCCGTCGCCGTCATATATTTGATTCCCTTCATTGTTTAATTTGTGACACTTATCACACTTGTGTATTGCATTCTTAACGCGTATTGAAAGATTACGTATTTCGTACTCCTTCAATAATGTTAAAACAAAACGCTGCAGTAGTCAGTAGCCGTCAGCTGATCACAACATCGACTGGTAGGGAGCCCGCCGGAAGCCGGCTAGCCGCAGCCGACTTGGGATCAAGTATCGTGATGGATTCCGTTGGTATTTAGCAGCCAACTTTGGCACACCAGTCAATATTTTCGCCGAAGTACTTAGTCTAAAAGCAGCAGGATTCATCATGACCTGGAGAAAAGTGACGCATTTCATGTACGTACATACGTACCACGCCCAGCTTTACAGGGCTGCGCACAGGAAGGTGGGGTTCTGTATGAAGGATTGGCATACATGAGGATCGTAAAATCGCAAGACGGAACACCGAGGAATTTTGGGGGAGAGGCCCCAAACTCCAGTAGGGCCAGACTGTTGCGTGCCCCTCTCCGTGACGAAATCCTGGATCTGCCACTGGTCATGATTATTATTGGTTCCGCATCGCTCGGAAACCAGACTAAGCGTCTCAAAACAAACAGCTGTGAGTTCATCGAGCCTAAAGCAGCGTGACCCCAGCTCCATGCGTCCTCCTCCCTCCGTCATTATCGGGGCCTGACAGACAACAGATTGGCCCTGCGAGATAATTAGACGAACGTGGAGCGGGCGGGACTGAGGGGCGGACAGGGAGCGGGTGGCGCGGGCCGGGGCTGGGCCGGCACGCACCCTCCGGTGCCCGGTCTACTGGCGGCCACGTCAGGACTAGTTACGGTAACGATCGTCAGCCGTGTTTGTTTCCAGCCGGGAGCGGTTTCTCGACCCTCGAGACACTGTCACAGATGGCCGCCACGAGCGGGGCCTTTTGTAAACATGAGGCTAGAGTTACTGCGCCGCCGAAATTACCCCCGATGGAAAAAGCTGGAGCGGTCGCGGCCACACCCCGACACCACTGTCGGGGTGAGGCGGAAACGAAAACCTCAGCACAGTGATTTGCGAGCGAGGCACACCCAAAGGAGAACCGGAGCATCAACGGCACGCGTGGCCGTCCGTAGCGACGGAAAAGCGTCGCAGCACACGTGGTTTGCGGACCGAACTCGGCCCACTGCCATGCTGTTCTGCAAGTCTCTCTTCTTGGAGCACGGGTATTTCCCTTTTCTAGTTAGCGGCGCATAATCCCGTCATCAAGAGGCTGTGGTTTGGAAGCGGCTTTTCTACAGAACTATAAGCTCCTTCCCGCCGTACCTGTGATGACGCATAGTGATGCGACGTTTTCACGGGTAATGAAGTCACCGTTCGCCTGCCGGCGCTGTTGCCCTGTGACGTCACTGTCCGGCTAGCGTCGCTGTTGGCGTTTGGCAGTGACGTCACGTTGCCCTGGCCATGATTGGTGGACAGCAGCAGCGGTGTGGACGGCGGTTGGGTCACGCCCAGCTGCAGAGAAGTCAGAGAGTCAGTTAATCTCAGGGCAAACAATGATACTCTACACACAATGATCAAATAGCAGGAAGATGACTTGCGTGCAGGTCCGATGACTTAACTCCATGCGGTGGGGATGGTTATGCTAAACGGAGTCTTCAGGCTGCTATACCGCGTCTTCCAAGGCGATTTTTTTTCTCTAATGAATTGTAATGGCACATCAATTACTTGAGTATGTGAGCAAGCTCTTTCGGGTCGAGGTTGCCAGTGTACATAATTCTATTGCGGATTTCGACCGTCGCGTAGCGGACGCTCGTTAATTACAGATATGGAAACGATTCCCAATACATTTCCTTTTCAAGCTGATTCATGTTATATTTATGATCGGTTACCTCCTCTTTTAAAGCTACAAAAACAACATAGCGTGGGCAAAAGCGAAAAAAGTATATGTAATTTGGGCGAGAGGTTATCCCAATGTGGACCAAGATAACTGCTGGTGCGGTGTGTTCAGAGTTGGGAGCTCTTGCTGACAATAATTCTCCTTGAATACACCAGAAGGTACCAGGTACTCAATGCTACCAAACAAGCTTTGTCCGCATTGACGTCATTTCCAGCTGTGCTCGTGGTCGTTCGTGACCATGACCACCTTGGTGACCAATGAAACGTAAGGTCCTACCAAATAGACCAATGATGGCTTTGGATGGTCATTTATGCAGTACCTCTGGAACAATGAACATCAATAATGTCAGAAACTAATTTCCAACTAACAATGCCGGAAACTTAGTAGAGCAGGGAACGTGTTTACACAGTGTTGGCGTGGTGCTGGTGAATTCGGAGAACAACTGATTTTACATGTGGAGGCATACCCTTAGAGCAGCAGCGTATCGAAACGTAACACAAGATCTGTGCAGGCCAGGTGAGGCTTGACCCACTTCGGTGAACTATGCGGTGCAGTGGAGGTTGCATACAAATTGCAGCACAATAAGTTGCTTCTTACAGCAGTTGACATATCTCATGTGATTGTCTTTTCAGTCATTGTTCGCAAAATGCACATCAGCACGCTTGAATGAGAACGTCCCAAAAATATACTTCTTAGAATGTTTTTGATATACACTAGACTTACATCGAAAAGAGGCATCTTCTTGAAACTGGCTATGGTTGCATAACTGCAGCTTCTTGCCATCAGGTCTATCGACTGGTAGTTCTTGGAAAACGTCTTCAGGAAAACGCGGCTTCCGGAACTCACAGTTCCAGCATACCCAGGGCTGTGGACACATTTCATATCCACAATCCAGTGCTCAGCACAGATCTGCAGCTGAAAACGCTCTCATCGATCAATGGGCACTAGCTTACTATGCAAAATAGTTGCCATGGCAACATTGAGCTATTTAGTATTAGCCGACCGGGGCAATGCAGGTAGATTAATAGGTGCCATCCTTTGAAACCTGAAAACTGGCTTGTTCATCGTGGAATAGTTATTATGATTTGCGCGTTTTGTGTAGCGCCCACATGTGCTGCACGAACGTTGCCCGGCAACTGCACGCTACGAAGCTGAACTGTGTGTGGTATGGACAGACAACAACGCACTCGCTACCAGTCTATGTCTGACCAAACGGCAACGGACGGAATGGAAAGTTTCGTACGTCTTGCTTGCAGAGGAGGGATGGCATTTCAAGAATGGTCCAAAATGTGAGCAGGCATGTCTCGGGTGTACGTTTTTCGTGGTTTGATTATAACCTGGATCGACATCAAATCGATACGTGCAGGATTGGCCAAAAAGCAAACAAAATCAGTGTTGACGTTGCGAGTAATTGGTCCCAACACCCGACATACCCCGAGACAGTCAACGACACATCCCAGAGGCCTGAGTCCCGCGCCGCGCGTGCCTGACACCGCCTTGCGCTGCGAGCCTGCCCCGAACAGCGTCCGAGCAGCCCGCCTCTGATGGCGGCACGCCTCAGCGCCGACCCTCGCCAGCCTAACGACGAGCCCCGCTGTGAGGCTGCTCAACGTCGCGTCGGCACGTCCGCGCACCTCATGGCCGCCTTGCGCTGCCGTACGTAGAGCAGCATGGCGCCGCCGAGCGTGACGAAGGTGACGGCGATGGCGCCAGTGACGCCCAGCACGAGGCTCAGGTCGGGCTCAGAGCTCAGCTCCAGCCGGACCGTGTCGTTGCCGGCCGCCTCCAGCCGCGTCGGCTGACCTGGCGGCAGCACGGAACCGGGTCAGCCCTCGCACGCGGGCGAGGCCGCGCCGAAAACGTGACCTGCAGGCGGCGGGGTGCTGGGTGGCGGTTGGGCACTGGCGCGCCGCCAGCGGAGCAGTTCGCAGACGTCACCGAGGGGCGTTGGGGGGGGGGGGGGGGCTTCCATGGCCTGTTGAGCCAGAAGAGCTGTTTGGTTTCCAGAATGAATATTGTATCAGTCAGGTGGGCGTGGATGGTGCTGGCGCTAACACATTGCGATTGCGAGGTGTACACAGCTGCATAAAATATAACTTGCGCATCAGCATGGTGACTTTATGATCACTGGTGGCGTGGCGTAGGGCCGGAACTCCGACCAAGCCGCCGGGCTGTCGGTACAAAAACAGAATTCAATCCTGGCACGCGAACAAACAACACGCGTTTCCCGGTCCGCCGACTTTCGCCACGGAGCCCGCCGCCAGATGGCAATGGTGTCGAGCTTCATTACCGGCAGCCAACTTTATACACTGCGTCACGCTAACCCCAACGCATAGCTATGGTCTTGTTATTACGCGAGTTAGGCTGCGGAACGACCGCCTAGTTACCGGGGCTCAGGAACAAACAGGCAGCAGCAGGGGATCAGAATCGTGTTTTTTTCCCAGCTGCCGACGAGCTCAGCTCCACAAGCGGGATGTGATAGGTACCACCGAGGGCGTTTGCGCCGAGGCTGCGGTAAAAAATCGCCTCTGTTGAAAATTTGCGTACGAGGGGAAAAACAACAGCGTAAATTGCTGGACTCTGCGTGTGGTGAAGCGAGCTAAGATCCTGCGGCTTGAGTTCACAGCGATAAATGGATGAGTGAGTGGATCACAATGCGCCGCGGGTAACTCGAAACCACGATGTACGGTACAAAAGGTGCTATGTGATCATTCATGACTACTGTACCTGGGACAGGCAGTTACATCTAGAACGCAGACAGATGCCGAGCTAGAAATATGGCTACCTTGGTGCTGAGGCAGCAAATGTGCACACCTTCAAGCGCAATGTTTTAATAAGGGCAGAAAGGGCCAAGAGCTACAATCACTCTCAGACCGCACCCTAATCTGCGGCAGACCAAGCCACGGTCCCCCGGAGACCGAGTCGCGGTCCCTCACTTCACCGCGGTCCCCCACACCGCGAGGTCTCCCGCGCATCCTGCAGCGACCCCTCACCCTGCAGGCAGGTCTTCCTCCTCCTCAGCTTGAGGAACGTGATGCGCCGCTTCGGCAGGTAGGTGGTGATGTTGAGCATGATCTCCACGTCGACCACGGCGTTCAGGCGGCCGGTGCACGGGAACAGGACGCTGCCGACGGGAGCGGGGTCGGGTGAGGGCGCGCGTCAGCCTCGGGCAGATCGTAACGTGGTGACGCTGACGGCGCACGCAGACTCGGCGCCGTGGATGTGCCGTCTGCTGACGGCACCACGCTGGGGAACTGGGAGTCGGCGCCAACGCGCGCAGCAATGTTCACAATTGATGTTGAGAAAATTGTTATGTCATGGTGTCTCAAAGCGAATTAGATTCAACGTCCAGTTGATTATCCTATTGTCCTTCGTTAACCCATCGATCCTCAGCCATGCCAAAATTGCTTGTCAGTTTGGAATTTGACGGCCTTCATTATCTATTGGCTGTTGAGTTCAGGTGAACGTTTTACAGTAATACATTATCCCTAGGGACGGAGAACAATTTCCTCGTCATTTGATGAAGACGCTGTAGCGTTTCCGCAGTCATTTTTGTTATTTGCGCCGCGGCATTAACCAATGTAGGCATCTAACGTGTTCGCAATGGTTATTTTGGCTCTAATTGTTCTGGATTTTGGATTACATGAGATTTTTGATTTAACGTTACTGGTGGATTGAAGTTTCATCAGTGGCATTCTTCAGGCATAATAACTGACTTTATCTCTGCAGCAGCCCAATCGATGTGAAAAACGCTCTTGTAACTGAGCACCTTAACCATGTATAGACGTCAAAATCAAATCAGATGTTCATGAACATTTTGTGTGACGTCGAAACCAACGTGCGTAAATAAGGGATGCCATTCGGTTCCTCCATTGTTGGTAATATCATGAACTGAGCTAGCTGAATGATGCATCAACGTCAGTTTGTCAAACACTTCACGTTAAGATCCACATAGAACCACGTGGTGAGCGGCGTGCACTGTGGTGGAGGTGGTGCACCGGTGCACAGCACCAACACTGGGAGCGCCGCTTATTCGTAGCGTGCTTCAGGGTGTTTTGAAGCAATTGCAAGCTCCCAGGAGGGCCCCGATGACCGGTATTCTGGTCGTAAAATTTCTCGCGAACCGCTTTCTTGTTTGGGTTTGGCCGCAGCCGCTGCAATGTTTCATGGCATACAGACGGATCAATAGGTCTCCCCTAAACGAAGGACGTCATGAATGAGGTACAAATTCCACGAGGAACCAGGCGGATATCTAAATGATTGCTATTAACCATTGTTTTTCTTATGGAGCTTTGTACCTGTCACAGTCGTTAGCATTCCGAGCCCCGCAATTTCAAATGTGGCGAGCCAAACGCTTCCTGTGGCAGGGAACACTGAGTTTCCGATCGTCCGAGCCCCCAAGTGATGAAAACGTTTCATTCACAGCTGCACTTACACCCTTTGGGAATGCAAGATTCGGAACCAGGAGTGTATAGCATTGGCAGGCAGCTTTTATACATGATGCGTGGTTTGTCATCAACCGGCGAATTGCCATCAGATCTTTTAAAAGTAGGTGTGTCGTAACACATACGGTCAGAACGTGCACCGACGAAATACATGTATCGATGATCTCTAAGGTCTTTGGCAGGTCAACGTCTTTTTTGCCGTGATTATCTCAGGTTTCACCCCACCCTACGTCCGCATGCTGCACACTAGTGCTACCTGTGTGCGCTGGTCTTTCTCATTCCGCATTCACCCCAGACTTATCCAATGAGAAGGCTGTATTTGGGCGATTAGCACCTCTTTGGTTGAGTCACTTTTTGCTTAAGACAGCTCGTTGCTCCCCACGCCAAGCCTCTCATCCCCATGTGCAATGTCTGATTCAAAGATAGTTTAGAGACGGCCCATCTTACGCCAAACAGAAAAAGGCTAACTTCTCCAAAAAGTGGTGAATAAAAACGACCTCTGAAATTCTTTAGTAGCATATTCTGACAGACTCCTTTTGTAATCTAGTAGCTCTCCGGCATCGATGCCCCGATGTCATAAACATAACAACTTCGTGCCCAGTAAAGACTGTTTGTGTGTTCCTGTTGCAAACGCACCTTGACACCTTTATCACCTTCACTCTCCTTATATAAAGCTGCTCAACGTTAATGGGCTAAGCACCAATCAGGCATAACTGAGCGCGCAAGGTTCCCAATCACAAGAGGCTTACACAAACCGAGGTCGCGTCGACACCACGACCCAGCACATGATGCACACTTCATCGACTACGACACAAGGTCGAACATCAGCACTCATCCGGGGCGATTCGTGTCACGCTCGGCTCCTCGCGCACGAGGTTCGACATTCAACCTCAATGAAACGTGGTCCGATTTACATACTCGGCCCATTCGTTCGGCAGCGACTATGCCGCTCCAACAGTCACATTTCCGGGATAAGCGGCGCCTGGAGTTCACGCGGATGGACGCCCTACATGGGAGTGTTATGTGAGTGGCGCTCGTGCTCGCCGGCCGTTCGTATACGTTGGCGAGGGCTGCCGGCACTCCCTCCACCCGCGTGGCCTCGGACGCAGCAGACGCCAAGGTTATCACGCGCCGCACGACCTTCGAGCCGGCGAGCAGCGCAGCACGGCTCAGCAACAGCAAACCGTGACATGCAGCGCCGGAGTGCATGTCACGGCAAGACCATGGCCATCGCAATGGGGTGCTGCTTCGGCCAGCAACACGGACGCGGCCCACAGCTGCGTCGCGCCGTGGTACGCAGCCGCGCTCCCCCGTACCGTGGTGCGCAGCCGCGCTCCGCCGTACCGTCGTATACAGCCGCACTCCCCTCTGCCGTGGTACACAGCCGCGCTCCCCGTACCGTGGTACGCAGCCGCGCTTCTTTGTGCCGTGGTACACAGCCGCGCTCCCCCGTACCGTGGCACGCAGCCGCTCGCCCCCGCGCCGACCCACAGCGGGTCGCGTCGTGCTGTTGCGCCGTGCCGAACCGCAGCTGCGCCTCGCCACGACACGCAACATCAAGGCTGGGCGACAGCAACTGCGCCTCGCCACGTGGGCTGCGCTTCGCCACGGCACGCAACACCAGCGCCGGGATCCAGAGCTGCTCCGAGCGCAGGAGGCGTACACCGCGGCTGCCGGCGCCGCGCAGCCAGGCGTCTGGGCTGCGGTCGCCGCGCTGGCCGACCTGTTTACCTCGGCTCGCTGCACTAATCGGCCAGAGTGGAGGAGGGACGGGCAGGCCGCATGCCCCCGATCGCAGTTTTCCGGCTGTTTTGGCGCACGCAATGTCACCGTCGAAAGCCGACGCCCGCGCGCGGACCCAGATGCGGCTCGCTGTATCACGTGCGGTAGGCGAGGTCACAACACCGGAGGCTTTGTTTTGTGTATTGTGAGCGAGTGTTTTGCATTCGCTGGCTTGGTGGATGTTAATCGCAGAAAAGCCGGCAGGCCAGGCCCGACCCGCCCATTTTGCTCCCGCGGCACAGGCGTCTGGCGCAGCGCACAGGCGTTTGGCGTCTGGCGCAGCTGCGTCGTTGTCCCCGTCAAGTCATGCAGTTGCAGAAAGACTGCATGAGAATCCCTGGGTCTGCCGGGTCCACCAATCGTCTCGCCGCTAGTGGTACAACACCCATTGCTGCTATGTCCGCCGGTAGGTGTTTTGGAAACTGTATTTACGCTTGGGAATACTTTGTCTACGCGTAGGGAACGCCAGATGCACTGTTGCGCTGCGTAAAAAGATGAGCAGTCCACGTATCCCACACGCACCACACGAATAGAAGACAAGGTCTACGCTGCAAAGCACCGCATCCAGAGACCCGCTGGCCGTGCTCAGTGACCAATGACCAGCCGCGGACCGTCCGGGTCCGGATTCGCCGCGCGCGGCGCGTACGACGCCCTGATCGGATGCCGAGGACTATGAGCGCCGCACGCGGCCGCGCCATTATCTACACGAATATCAATATCCAATATCGTTGCGAGCTCACGGGCGGACCGCGGGACGCGCCGCTAATGCACCCACGAATAATTGACTTACCGGAGAAAAGACGGCCGCCGTCTGCGGACGCGCTCAACGAGCTGGGGGCGCGTCCGAGGCCCCCCCCCCCCCTCCCCCCCTGCGCGTCGACCCGGCCGGCGGGCCGGGCTGATCCTCGTCATCAGCGAGACCATTTCCTGGCAAACAGTGTGCGCCGGAGCGGCGCTGCTCCCGCCACATGACAGTCGCGCGCCGCCCGCGCATCCATCTTGCATTTCCCGACACCGTCTGCTGCCGTTTCCGGTCTGATAGCGGTCCTTTTTCCGTGCCGCCGGCGGCGAATAGTGACGCGCCCGTGTCGCCGGCGCGGCGCCTGCCGTCCACGGGTCAGCGCAGGCCGACGCGCGGAGGAGGCGGGAGACAGGCTGTCCACAGAAGAGACGGGCACGGGGGACACTCTGTCCACAGAAAAGACGGGGACCGGAGGCCCGGGCGAGTGGGGAAAAGCCGAAGACGGCTGGGGATAACCGAAGACAGACCACCGTTCCCCAAATGCAGCCAGAAGCGCCTTTTCCCTACGCTGCCCGGTGACTTGAAGCCCCCAGCACGGGTGTCACTCTCAAAAATTGGTAGTGGCTGAAAGACATCATAAAAAAGGAATGGATTGTGTTGGGGAAAGTCGACGTTTCGAAGCTGCGCCCACGGTCAAATGTCTTCGCAAAAGTTGATAAACACTTCCAATGCCATTTTCTGAATTTCTACCACCCGGTGATAAAATTCCACCCAGCTGTCCTTGAAATTGTTCCTGCTGCGCTGTGCGTTAGTCCGTTCTGATATTTCAGCTGGTTAGGCGGTCTGCCATCCGATTCACAGACTTGTGGCGGGCTGGGTTCGAGTTGCTTTAGGCGTTTGCTACTTATCTCCGATTGGGATAGCCTGCGGCCGGTGGCAGCGGCTGCGCTAAAGGCCAGGTAATGTCACAGAGCAGGGTAGACCGTGTCGAGCATTGCGGCACATTCAGTTTTCGCTGGCAGGTTCTGACGTTGACCCAAACTTTTACGTTCGGTTCAGAGGTCACCAAATAAGCACTGCTCAGCATGGGCGCCAATCCAAGAAATACATCCCAGCAAAAGGCTTGGAATGAATCTTAAAATTTTTTGACCGCCC